AATATAAATTATACTCCCTCCGTTCCTAAATATTTGTCTTTTTAGAGGTTTCAAATGGACTACCACATGCGGATGTATATAGACATAGTTTAGAGTGTAGATTCACTCATTTTGCTCCGTATGTAGTCACTTGTTGAAATCTCTAGAAAGACAAATATTTAGGAACGGAGGGAGTATGAAACAAAAAATATACTATATTGTTGGATTTGTATTTGAGAGAGGTTTCCCACAATATATTTTTTACGGCATGTAGTTTACATTTTATTAGTTATAAATTTATGGTCAAACTTTAGCCCAAAATAAGAGGGTACTTATAAGCCCAGACGGAGGTGGTACTTCAGATCTGTTTCAGTTTCCTTCCAGATTTTGTGCATCAGTTCCTGTAGTAGTAATGCTGTCCCCGAATGTTCCGGGGAGCCAAAATCGTGCATCCTCTCTAGTTGAAGCAGCAGTGGGGTTCCCTGAATTGCATATCTATTTGAAACACTCACATATTTCCTGTCCATTGCAGGTTCATCTCATAGAAGGAATCATCGATGAAGTCGACAGCACGGTTCATGTTTCGTGGGTCCAGCCTAGAGTACTTGGCATCCCACAGGTGAAGGCGTTGCGTGAGCGCCTGGACTCGTGGGTCGGCAAAGTGCATACCACACTGTTGTCCATCGAGGCAGAGACCCCCGATCTCGTGGCGGCTTAGCTTGTTGGCCAAAAATGATTCTGAATAGGCTTTGGTTGTCAGCAAGGCGGCGGTGTAAAACGAGAGACCATCTGGCTGTGCTGCGCGTGCTAGCTGCTCTTTTCTTGATAACGAAAACTTGTTGCCTTGGGTGTCCTATTGGTCTGGACTTGTAACTTCCTTCTATCATCACGGATCGAAACAGAGAAATCATACCGGCAGAGGGTGTCACTAGTTTTTTCCTGTTGAACTTTATAATCTGTAATCCAGCGGTTTGACATTTCTTCTTCTTCCATTGTGCTATGGACATGGACACGCAGGAAAATCTTGCTCATTTTCTTATGTTTGTGCCAGACAATGAAGCCTTTTGAATTCTAGCTGCGTACGGTTTCTAACCATACAACGCGTGGGCCTCATTTTTAATTGCATCAAAGAGCTTCAGATTGTTGTTTCTCACTCTGAAAGCTGCACCCTTGGCTATTGCTTGTAATGCATCATTGCTAAGCATGCATCAAATTCGATTGTGTGATAAATAAACCCAAAATGCAGTATCATACTCTATTTACTTGGTAAATCCTCAAGACAAAACCATACAACTTTGACAACGACAACGCAGCATTTAGTTTCGACTGGCTAGTGGTGAAACCCATAATTTATGGTTTTGGTATATGGATAGCAAGTTTTCATGCATCCCTTCATGTCAAATTTGGTTCATCCCGAACTTTCTTGATATTATTAGCACGTTTTAGCTGTCCGTTATGTACTGAAATTTATGAAGGCTTGCATTGAATATGCCTAAAACATTTCAGATGATATTGGATAAGCTTCTTTGACAGATTTAATATACATCAAATATCATGTGAAATGACCCATCATATGTTACTATGTCCAGACAGTCAAAAGAAAATGTTATTGCTATGAGGGTGCTTGGATACGTTTTAGTCCCATGACTAAAAGTAGTGGGACTAAAACTTGTTAGCCTCACCCATGCTTGGATCCAAATACTCTCATGGGACTAAAACGTATCCAAAATCAAGTTATTGAGCATTTATTATCCTTCAAACCCTCCAATCCAGAACTCGCATGTGTTAAAGAAGAGGCATTAAATGATGAGAGAGAGGGCTAATACATATTTTAGTAGGTTTCCTATGACTAAAAATTTTTAGCCTCAAAACTAGTTCTAGCCTCTTTTTGAAACTTTAGCCTCTAAAAGAGACTATTTTTAATCAGACTAAAAATAGTCCTTTGGATCAAGCACCTTCTTTGTGCAGTACTCGTATTTGGGAGGTTTGCCTGCCGTTTCAGCCTCCTTCCTCCACACGTAACGCAGCGCCGCCGCCGTGCCCGTGCCGGCGGCGTTTGCTTGCTCTGCTCTCCATGCAATTAGGCAGATATCACTGAGCTCCTCCCCGCCCGTGTTCGCGCCTGCAATGCCAGCCTCGCCGTCCCCGCCCACTCGCTGCTTCTATGCTCCACGCCGCACGGAGGCGGACACCGCCGCTCCCTGCCAGGCTCGCCGCCGCCTTCTTCGCCGCCAAGCCCCAGCCCCAGCCGCCCGCCCTGTCGCCGCAGATCGTCGAGGCCGCCGTATCCCGCTGCCCTTCCGACGCCCTCGCGCTCTCCTTCTTCCTCTGGTGCGCCCGCCGCCCCGCCTACTTCCACCCGCCCTCGTCCTTCGACCGCGTCCTCCCTGCCGCCACGCGCCTCGCGTCTCGCCTCGCGTCCCGCCTCGGCACCGCCCCCGCGCTCCTCCGCGAGCTCCAGAGCCTCGGCTGCCCCATCAGGCCCCACACCTTCCTGCTCCTGCTCAGGCTCTACTGGCGCGGCGGCCTGTACCCGCTCGTGCTCCACCTGTTCGACGAAATGCCCCGCTGGGGCTTCCACCACAACGCCTTCGCGCGCAATGTCGTCCTCGACGTACTGCTCAGGACCGGCTGCGTCGATGATGCGTTGCGCTTCGTGCAGGGCAACCCGTCGCCCAACTACCTCACCTATGCCATTGTCCTGACTCATCTCTCCAGAGCCAGGGATTGGTCAGGGTTGCGCGTCTGTTTCACAGCTATGCTGAGCCAAGGTTTTCTCCCCAGCGCCACTTCTCTCGCCTCGGTCTTTGCCTGTTGCAGTAAGGCTGGTACCATGGCCGAGCTACAACAGCTGCTGTCCTATGCGCTTGTCTCGGGCCAGCAGCTCAGTCCGGCCATGTGGACGTGTCTCATCGCTCGTATGTGCAGTGAGGGAAGGCTAGATGAGGCCTGTAAAACTCTTGGAAATATGGTGCGTTCTGGCTCTTCACCAACAGTGGTGACTTACACACCGCTTGTCAGAGGTCTCTTCCGAGCTGGGAGGCATGACATTGCCAGTGAGCTGCTGGGATCCATGGCATCCGACGGTTGCACCCCAGACCTTGTTATGTATAATGTTCTGATGGACTGCATGATGAGGGAGAGGAGGTACGATGAGGCCATATACATCTACCTACATCTTCATGGGAGCCAGATAAAGCCGGATGCATACACTTTGTCTACTTTGGTTCAGGTATTGCAGTTGTCACGGAACATAGATCTTCTCCCTAGGTTAATCCTGGGCTTGGATATCTCTTATGATCTTGTGGCTTGCAATTCTATGCTGAGTGCTCTGTGCAAGTCAGGGTTTCCATCCGAAGCCCTTCAGTTCTACATCGATATGATTGGTTTGGGCATCAGGCCAGACAGCTACAGTTATGTTGGATTGTTGGATAGTTTGTGTCACTTGGGAAGGATAGATCATGCAGTCAACCTCTACCGCAGTGTTGTCACAAGCAATCCTGATTCAGACGCTTACGTCCATGCAGCCATCCTCCGTGGCCTTGTTAGAAGGGGCCAGAACATAATGGCATTTAGGATTCTCAGGGAGGCTGTGCGTCAAAATTATGCACTTGATACCGTGTGCTACACCATTGTTCTGCATGGTCTATTCCGAGGTCATTTTGTTCAAGAGGCTTGTGATTTATTTGACAAGATGAAGGATTCAGGTGTTGCTTCCAACACTTGTACATACAATGTAATGCTTCGTGGACTGTGTAGAGCCAGGGATATGCTTGCAGTCACGCAGTTACTAACAGAAATGGAAGGCGCCAATGTTCACATGGATAGTACCTCATTCAACGTGGTAGTTGTGCTCTTAGTCAAATTGCAGCGCATCAGTTCGGCAACAGCTTTGATCAGAGAAATGCTCAATCTAGGCATGAAACTTAACACCAAAACTTGCTGGTTACTTTCTCAATCAATTGGTCATAGATTCGTTTTGGAGGATTCTATCAGTGCTGAAAGTGATGTGTCTGACTCAACATGCGATCTGCTTGTATGCTCAGCTTCATAGTCTACTTTTCTATGGAACAAGCATGCTGTTTATGGTATCTCCACTTTTGTGATGTAATTGATACAAAATATAAAATACTGAAGGCTGGAGAAATTCTAAATGAATTTCTACCACACAGAGATCCTTGCTATAACATTTTCCCTTGGAAGCGCCCAACAAAAATTACCATAATTATTGAAGAGATGTTTACCTCGTAGGTACATACCTTTTGAATATCATCCCACCATTACGTTGATAAATTTTAAAATATATCCATAACCTTGGGTTCTACTCAGATGCAGGTTGGTGAGACATGTGCAGTTTGATTTAACACCGAGAATGAGGCAGTCTGTTTTTGTCAATATTGGATCTTTCCATGAAACAATGCTGATGTACTATATTTCAAGAGGCTTACACCTAAATGATTTTGCAATGCCGCCCATGGACTAGATTTGAAAGAAATTTCAGGTATACTTTAGTTGTTTCTCCACAGCAATTTTCAAATTGTACCCTTATGCATTCTCTTCAGAATATAGTTTAATAGTGTATGATCGTTACATAAGTTTGAACTATGCAATGCACATTTTTTTAACTATTTGCAGTTTAGGGATTTCCCAGTCCATTTTTTATTAATTTGCGTTGATGTATTATTTTTACAAAGAAAATGGCATTTCTGTATCCGTTTTAGCACTGTCATGTCTATATATTATATGGAATATGCACAAACATTTCTATGATATCACTATTGGTCTCAATAGGAGTGGTGAGCTCCAACTCTGAATTGTAGGAAGTTGTATCCCAAAAGGTCAGGTACTTGTAAGCTATGACAATCATATTTTGTCAAGAAAGATAGTAAGAGTTGTGACCAAAGAATGACATTCAGCTCAAATGCAAGAGATTGTGTAATGTAAATTATTGACATACTGACAAAACATTACAACCAAAAATAATGATAATATACTAGAGATATCCTATGCCAATTGTTGTAACTTGATCTGGATTCAGCTGCAGATTAACCCATCATGTTATGCAGAATGTGGTTCATAGAGTGCCCTTTTGGCCTGCTAGGGAACCCAATATTGTACTGTTGTCTTCAGCAATCAGTATGTGAATCCAACAAGAGCTATGAAGCTTCAGCATGAATTGGGTCAAGGGAAAGAGAATGACCCGCCTAACTGTTGATTGGCAGCTGTCGATGGAGGATTGATTGCAATCCAGAGCAATGAAATAGTGATGGAAACTAATCCAGCCCAGACATACACAATGGTGGGTGTCCTGCCTCTCCTGCCCATGAGCCCCTTTGCAAATGGATATAAATGGGCAAGCACCCAGAAGCTGAAAAACACTCCACCAAGAAGCTTGCTCCATTGCGGGATTGTGCTGTAAATTGTGCGGCTGAAGCCAACAGCAATGGCAACAAGGTTCACCATGATGATGGTGAGAGGTGGTATCATCAATGAAGTCCACTTTACTTCGTAGAGTTCTGCAAATTCATCATCGATATCGTCACCCACCTGCTTTGATGTGAGTGTGAATGAGATCTCAATCCCTGCAACAACTTTCAGTAGACCTTGCATCACAGCAGCTAGGTGAGCACTAGTTCCACCAATAAGCCAGAATTGTTCATTTCGCCACCACTCTTCCAGTGCAATTCCAGACCACTTGATCTCCAGCATGGCCAGGAGACAAAGCGTGACGGTGATGATAAGTAGGTATGTCAGGAAGGTGACATTGAGTGTTTGCACAATGAACTGCCCTGAGAAAAGGGAGAGTGCTGGAAGGAAGCAGTAGACAATGAGGAAGATGGATGTGAAGGGATATATGCCAACATTGAGGTATGCAATCCTTTGTAGCACCTGTGAACCAAAAATGGTTTGTCATATTTTTGGTGAGTCTACTTTAGTAAGGGATAGAAATAGAAAGTCTAGAGGGGCATATACCTTCATTTTGGAGCTGGCAAACAATGCATTGTTCCGAGAGAAAAAGATCTCGACAGAACCAGTAGCCCACCGAAGCACCTGGTGAAGACGATCTGTGAGATTGATAGGGGCAGTGCCGCGGAAGGCATCACGCTGTGTGACACAGTACACTGACTTCCATCCACGATTATGCATGCGGTACCCTGTCACAACATCCTCAGTGACAGATCCATAGATCCACCCCACACGAGTGCCCCACTCTGTCTTCTCCTCATACCAACATGAAACTACACTGATTGCTTCTGCCACAATGGATGCATCCAGTATTTCACGTGGAATTGTTAGAGCACCAGGTGGACGCCCATTCTTGACAGATGGATGGTCAGCCAAGGGCCTTCCCTGGAACTCTGCTACTGGGATGGAGTCAATCAGAAAGCTGGAATTTCCAAACTTCTTCGGGAATGTGGCGAGGTTCATGCTGTCCCCGTCAAAATCACCCATACGGAGAGCCATTGTCTCCTCGGGATTAGCATTGGAAGCAGATGCCTTGCGGCGTCGTGGGAGGCAGCAACCACAAAAGCCTGGGCTGTGATCCTTGGAACGAGGTGGGTCAAAGCCATATAGGGCGATTCGCCGGAAGAGGCACCCAGTGCCGACATACACTGGTCCTTGCAGACCATCAAGAGCACGCATGTTTATATCAAAGAAAACAGTATTGTGGTTAGCATACCGATCAGAAGGGTCAATGCCTTCAAACCTCTGAGGGAACTGCACATAGCAGAGTCGGTCACCACCACGGTCCATCATGAAGCACATGCCCTCCCTGAAGGCCTTTGAGTTGTAAACGTAGTGATCACAGTCCAGATTAAGAATGAAGGGACCATTGGACATGATGGCTGATGCACGAACCAATGCATTCATGGCACCTGCTTTCTTGTTGTGATCATATCCCGGACGTTTCTCACGTGACATGTACACCAGCATTGGAAGTCTTGTATCCACTCCTGAAAAGTCAAGAGGTGACTTTTCAATGTTCCCATACATTGGCATGTCACTTGGTGGTTTCAGCATAACCTGTGATATAGAAGAAACATGTAAATAACTAGGTCTAGACCAAAAATTGTGTTTACACGATCGTCATCAAATCAGTACCTGTATGATTCCTGCATGATCACCACGTGCATGATCTTGTGACGGATGAATCCATGTACCGGGCCAGTGAGTGCTATCAGCCATCCATGTTGCCTTGGGAATCTTCACTGGCTCAAATTGCTCATCGCCTCCAGCCTTGATCTTTTCCCTTTGAAGATTCATTGCCTGGATTTCCTCACGGGCATGGTATGCATCAGAGCGGCGCCTGATGGAATCTGGCAAGCCATTAACGCGGACCTTGAACTCATCATACTCACGCTTGATCCTTCTCCTGTCCTTTACAAAGTCAGCCTTCACCTTATTCTTGAAAGGATCTCTCTTCAGGTTGAAGTAGCTGTCCGGGTTCCTGGGTTCAATGTCATGCTTCCTGCAGAATGGCACCCAGAAATTAGCAAAGCTTGCTGCCTCAGCCATCGCCTCGAAGGTCAGCAGTGCCCCTCCATCATCTGACACATAACATGCAAGCTTATCGACAGGGTAGTCAACTGCAAGGATTGAGAGAATTGTGTTTGCTGTGACCAGGACCGGCTCCTTTTCTGGATCAGCAGTTGACACAAAGATATCAATTCCAGGGAGATCAGATTTGCCTGTTGGATTGCTCGGCGTTGGTGTCTCAAACTTTTCTTTAAGCACAGAGAGATCTGTAGCACGGTTGATAGGGCAAAGCTTTGGAAGCTGGTCCAACACCCATGACAATGCGAACCAGAGCTCACAAACAATTGACATTCCCCAGAGCCAGATGGCATCATCATTTTGATGCTTGATACGCCACATGAGGAAGAAGGCCAGTGCAACCAAGCGGATGAGGACAAGGAGCCTGCATGCAAGAGACAGTTCAGACAAGAGGATGGTATCACAAAAAAGCAATGCACCTAGGTGTTGTCATGTACTCCCTCCATTCCAGAATATAAGGTCCGCACGCCTTTTGAGATTTAAGTTTGACCATAAATTTAACCAATGCAATGTGGGTTATGTGTCATATAAATATACCATTAAATTCATATTCAAAAGAAATTTTCAATGGTATAATTTTTTAGTAACATGATTTATGCATTATTGGTTTAATTGATGGTCAAAGCTAAATCTCAAAAAATGCGTGCACCTTATATTCTGGAATGGAGGGAGTATTAATAAATATCGGTATATTTTCTGTGTAACTGAAATTTGAACCAACAAGTAGTAGAATACTATGCAAGTGTGGGATCTTTGCACTTTCTTTTCAACTGCTATATGTGGATTTTTTTAAAGTTTTGTGACAGAGAACACATTTAACTAGTCTGTGCACATGCTATGGTATTTGGAAGAAAATTGCAAGCTTACTGTACAGGCACACTTTTTGACTAGTCTATACACATACTATGATCTTTGGCTGAAATTGACAACTCAGTCACTTTATATATGCATTTGATTGGTATTGAAACCAATTGGTATAGTAGGGCTATTTACTTGGCTTCCTTGTAGCATTTCTCTTTGCTAGACTACATTTACTTGAAGGTTAACAGCATTTGGCTCTAATCACTTTTTAACACCATCAATTTTATTAGGGGTTGGCCTAATGAGAGGGTAATGCAAAACTGCAGTTCCTTTAGTTTAATGTAAAATCAATTGATTCATTATTCTTGTGTTGGTGGGTAAGCCAGCATACTTCTTGTTTAGGCATTAACCCGTACATATAACTTTTGATTGGCAGGTAACAGTAATGGCACATGTTTTTAAGGAAAAAAGATGGCACCTGTAAGGACTGATGACAGCAGCTGGAATCTGGAGCTTGCGGGTGAGTGGCCGCCATGGTTTAGCCATGAGCTCCTTGGGGTGCCCTGGTACTCCATTTCTGCCATCATCGTCCACATTGTCGTCTGGCCAAATGGCATTACCATAGCCATATGTCCCCTTGGTCTCAAAGAGCCAGCGGTTATGGTCAAACTCACCGGACTGGTTGTTCATAGTGCC